AAGGGACATTCCGCTTGTTTTGTAGATCAAAATTGTTGTTTTAGCTCAAATTTGTGAAAGCTATATACCAAAATTTAAGGTCAAACTGCTTTGATAAAAAATTGGCCATGTATAAGCTTCGTCATTCACTGGTCAGTAACACAGTTAGGCATCAAAATACCAATATATTCGAATTTTTGTAATATTCACAGATCTGAAAGGCATTCAACATTTTGCATTAACTTCTTACATTTGCGACATTAAACTTGTAATATGTATTAGCTACATAGCATTTAGCATTACCTACATAGCATGTAATATTGACACACATTCCCCGCCATAGATTTCAGGTTTCGTTTTGCGTTGGTACTTAGTTTATCATATTCCTTATTTCCATATCATAGAAGATTGAAATTATTACATCATTCTACACGTGCTACTTGTTCTGCAAGAGACTATTGAATTGACTGTCCATGTTCCAAAATGTTTCCTTATATTTTTATAAGTTTAATCTGATCCGTACTTTTTGTAATAACCATGCTTCCGGTCATGGCCTCCAGTGTTGTCATGAATTCAAATAGTAAAAAGTAAATAGTAAAAAGTAAAAAGTATATAACTAAAAGTAAATGTAGTGAATTAGATGCTAAGTAATTTAAACTAAGAAAAGAACCAACTGTATTATCAATCTGTTTTATTAACTCTATAGAATTGGCCAATTACCAGGGGCTTAGACCGGACGGCTTCATGCACTCTCACGATCCACAAAAATTTGAATTCTGACAGAAGTGAACCTGAACTTTGCTAACCACGGGATTGGAGAAATGCTGAAGAAATTTGGATGTTAATCTACTGTGTTTAATGACTGGTAAACTGTATTATATTTACTAATCTGTATCCTGGTGAAATTTGAGAAAATTCAGTCAGAACTGGCACGTATTGTGTATTTGCTGTGAAACTGGTCACATTTACTGAACTTTTGTTTATCTGTCACATATCCTGTGAAATTTTGACTGATTGAATTTTT